TGAAAAGACAAAATTTAATTTAAATCCCTCTGAAAAGACAAAATCTGATTGAAAACCCCTCTGAAAAGAGAAAATTGAATTAAAAACCCTGTGAAAAGACAAAATTTAATTTAAATCCCTCTGAAAAGACAAAATCTGATTGAAAACCCCTCTGAAAAGAGAAAATTGAATTAAAAACCCTGTGAAAAGACAAAATTTAATTTAAATCCCTCTGAAAAGACAAAATCTGATTGAAAACCCCTCTGAAAAGAGAAAATTGAATTAAAAACCCTGTGAAAAGACAAAATTTAATTTAAATCCCTCTGAAAAGACAAAATCTGATTGAAAACCCCTCTGAAAAGAGAAAATTGAATTAAAAACCCTGTGAAAAGACAAAGTTTAATAAAAAACCCCTCTGAAAAGACAAAATCTGATTAAAAACCCCTTTGAAATCATAAAAGTCAATAAAAAACCTCTCTGCAATGACAAAATTTAACAAAAACCCCTCTGAAAAGCCAAAATCTGATTGAAAACCCCTCAGAAAAGCCAACATTTAATTTAAAATCCCATCTGAAAAGACAAAATTTAATTTAAATCCCTCTGAAAAGACAAAATCTGATTGAAAACCCCTCTGAAAAGAGAAAATTGAATTAAAAACCCTGTGAAAAGACAAAGTTTAAATAAAAAACTGCTCTGAAAAGGGAAAACCTCATTGAAAACCCCTCTGAAATCACGAAATGCAATAAAAACCCCTCTGAAAAGATGAAATCTGATTAAAAACAAAGATGAAATCTCATTAAAAACGCCTCTAAAAAGAGAAAATTTAATTTAAAAGCCCCATGAAAAGAGAAACTTTAATTTAAAACCCCTCTGAAAAGACAAAATCTGGCAAAAAATCCTTGGACAAGACCAAATTTAATTTAAAATCCCGTCTGAAAAGACAAAGTTTAATCAAAAACCCCATGAAAAGACAACACACGAATAAAAACCCCGCTGAAAAGAGAAAATTGAATTTAAAACCGTTTGAAAAAACAAAATTTAATATAAAAACCCGATGAAAAGACAAAAATCTGATTACAAATCCCGCTGAAAAGAGGAAATTCAATTAAAAACCCTGTGAAAAGACAAAAATCTGGTTAAAAACCCCTCTGAAAAGAGAAAATTCAATTAAAACCCCTGTGAAAAGAGAAAATGTAATTTAAAATCCCATCTGAAAAGAAAAATTTAATAAAAATCTCCCCTGAAAAGAGAAAGTTTAATATAAAAACCCGATGAAAAGACAAAAATCTGATTAAAAACCCCTCTGAAAAGAGGAAATTCAATTAAAAACCCTTTGAAAAAGACAAAGTTTAATAACAAACC